AGCAAGTGGTGAGATGAGGTGCAGCCAGAGATCCCACACATGGTGGGCTTTCAGTCCTTGGGCCTCACACTCCAGAGCTCTCACCTGATGTCCACCAACATCCTCCAAGACCCAGAGAGCCAAGACCTAGGATTAAACATCCGGGAATTTCAGAAATTCATATTTTTTACCTCTTTCTTTTTTAGGTAGAGTCAAAAAAGAACTTGGTAAGTTGTGTTTCTCTGGTGGGTCGAATTTAGAACGAGCCAGCATCCCTCAGGATATTGACCTTGCTCTGTTATTTCTTGCAGCACATAGAAAACGCCTTGCGGAAGCTGGTAAGTAAGACCAGTGACCTCACTGCTGACCTGCTGTACCCCCACCCTGCCCAGTGGCTCAACTAACTGTGCATGTCTCTATCTCATTTTAGAACTAAAGAAGATTCAAAGATTTGCAGGTAAATATGATGGGGGAAAAAATGTGTGGCCAGGATGACTTTTGCCTTGCCATCTAACCTCTCTGAATTACCTCAGAAGATAAAAAGATTTTGCTCAAATAATCCATAAGACACATTTCAACTCTCAAATAACTTGATTCTGGAAATATGAACTTGATGGTAAGTAAGCAAATTACTGTCTGGGAAAGATCAATTTAGGAAACTGCCTTAAACGAATGCACCAGGTGTGCCCAGCAGAGCTGCGGTGGGACCTCCTCATTCTGAAATGCAGCTTCTAGATCTGGGCAAGAAAAAGTCCTTGCTGTCCTGATCCCACCCACACCACCACTGCAGATCGTTCAGAGCCAGAGATTATTGATGCAGTGGGGATTTGGTCGCTGTCCCCTCTGCTCTGAAAGCCTCCGCCTGTCATGTCCACACCCCCTCTGCCACATCCTCATATGCCATTTCCTCCTGTCTGCAAACAAACACACGCAGGATATTCGCCCATGATCTCTCCTGATGCAACACCTTGGTGCCTCCTGTCACATTTCCTTTCCTTTACAGTCACACTTCTCTGAATAGTTGTGAATACACGCTGTCTCCATTTTCCACTCTCTGATTTCTCTCCCAAGATCCCGAGCATGATCTCTCCTCCAGAGGCAAGGGCCAGTGTCCTGCTCTTTGGGCTTTCTCCTGGCATTGTCCCTCTGAAACATCCCTATTCTTCTGCTTTGCTTTGCCTACACCCCTGCCAGGCATAATAGTCCTGGGGCAGACATGGCAGAGGCACTCTGAGGTTGCTAAAGACCAGTCCCAAGGTGAGGGCAGTGTCCAGGCTCAGCCATGCCCTTGCACCTGAGGATAACCCTGCAAATCTCTTTCAGGTTGGGGTCTCTGGAGATGTCATCTCCCAGGAGATTTGGGGATGGAAGGCACCAAGGGCAAGTGTGTACTGTTGGGGTCTGTGTTGTCTCTTTGGATCTCTAAAGGACCCTCCGAGGCCATGCGCTTGGCCCTTTCACAGACACACTGTTCTCTGAGTTGCCTGACAGTTAATGGGTACACTTTCTTTCCCTACAGCAGACATAACACTGGATGCAGCCACCGCTCACCCTTACCTGGCCGTGACAGATGATGGGAAATGTGTGACATACGTGCCCGAGAGGCAGGACGTACCCGACAACCCTGAGCGATTTGACACACTGGTGGGCGTGCTGGGTCTAAACCGCTTCTCTGGTGGAGATCACTACTGGGAGGTGGGAGTGGCAGGCAAAAGCATGTGGGCCGTCGGGCTATGCTTGGAGTCCGTCAGGCGGAAGGGCCAGTACACCAAGGCCTGTCCTGAAACCGGCTTCTGGATTCTTCGCCTGCAGAACGGCGAGTGCTCGGCTTTTGCCACACCCCGCACAGTGGTTACCCGAGAACCCCTCTCACGGCTGGGGGTTTTTCTGGAGTACGAAAAAGGGTTGATCTCTTTCTACAATGTCACCGAGTTTGTCATTCTCTTCACCTTCAAGAGCAACTTCAAAAGCGAGCCACTGAGACCCTATTTCTACCCTGGGACTGTCAGTGCCGAAAAGACGAATGGTCTTAGCATCCTGAAGGTGTGAGCAGACACCTGCAGGTCCCCACAGCACAACTGCACCAGGCCACAGCGGCCAGCCACAGGGACCACGGTGGTGCACTGGCATGCCCCTCCTGGACTCTGAAGAGCAGGGTGCTGGCGGTGTCCTGCATGCTCACTCTCAGCTTTGTGGGAGACTAGAGGCAATCTTCATTGCTCCTCTCGGTCCCCAGGCCTTCCTGAGCCCCTTTCCTGTGATTTCTTTGGGCTTTAATAAATAACAAGTTCTCCACTTCTTCCTGGATTTGAGTTTGAAGTTCTGAAAATAGTTGGCGGATTCCTTAGCAGAATCAGTGCTGTGCACTTCTCATCACACAACACACAGACTGGCAGGGGTTTCTCTGTCACTGAGGATAAGCTGTGGACTTTTCAATACCACATGCTAATGACTTTGATTGCCATCACCACACCAGAATCAGTATCTTGAACATGACATCACATTTAATGTTACCGAGTAAAACCGAGTACTGTCAACAACAGACTAACCCATTTGCAGGTGGCCTGCGGTGCTGTAGGTGGTCTTCCCTGTGGGGCTGTAGGTGGTCTCCCCTGTGGGGATGTAGGTGGTCTCCCTGTTTGCAAATGTCCTATGGTGCTGTAGGTGGTCTCCCCTGCGATGCTGTAGGTGGTCTCCCTATTTGCAGGTGAACTGTGGTGCTGTAGGTGGTCTCCTCATTTGTAGGTGGCCTGAACTGTTGTGGGTGGTCTCCCTGTTTGCGGGTGGCCTGTAGTGCTGTATGTGGTCTCTCCTGCGCTGCTATAAGTGATCTCCCCATTTGCAGGCTGCCTGTGGTGCTGTTGGTGGTATCCTCTCAGATCCTCTGTCACATGGCTCTGAAGTGTGCATCCCAAATGCAGCCGATGCCTCTCTGCCTGGTCCATGCTGTGAAGCATGTGTCACCACACATACACAGCCTTGCACAGTCTGGCTAATTAAAGGTAAAGAATATGAGGCAGTAAAGGAAACTAAACCCACATCTCTGGTACAGTGGCTTTGGGAAAATGTCATTTCTTTACAACTATGATCAACAGTGTCACTCTGAGAGACATCCTCTACAGGACTGAGTGTACAGGTGTCTAGTGTCTTGCACATGAGTGTTTATAGGAACTTTATAAAGAATAATGAAAAACGGAAATCAACCTAAGTGTGGTTTATGAGAACACAACTTCAAGGAGAAAAATGCATACATAGACCATGTGTGTTTATATAGTGGATGGTGTTTGACAGCTAAAAAGAACCATTGACACGAAAATATGAATGAGGGTCCAAGATGTGCTCAGCAAAAGAAAGTGGACACTAAAGAGTGCATAGTGTTGACCTCTCTGTGAAATTCTTGAGGAGGAAAAGCAGGTCTGTGGTAAAGAAATCAGGTGATGTGCAAAGCACTGACTTTGATTCTCAGCACCACATATAAGTAAATAAATGTCCATCAAAAACTAATAAAATATTTTTTAAAAGCTTGAAAAAAAACAAATCAGGTGACCTCCTACTGTTGAGGGGGCTTGCTAAGCGGACACCCTGAATTTAGGGAAATGTTCAGCTGTCTCTGGGGGAGGTCTTGAGAACCTATTGGTGGGATGAAATCACTCTGTGCACCTCTTTCACCAGCTCCTGCTGCCTGGCTGCCTTCCTCCAGGGTAGCTCCCAGGCTTCTGCCTTCCTTCTGCATCATTCTCTTGCATGGATGTCTCCTGCTGGATGACAGGCTGTGGCTTAGAGACTGCAGGAGAGAAGTGCACAGCATCCAAGGCCTGTCCCAGACCTCGTCCTGGCTTCATGAGGACCTGTAGGTGGTCCTGCACAGAGGACTAGAAGGACAGTAGCAGAGGCCTCCTGCTGGGCACGGGGATGTGACCCTCTAAAGTGGATATTCCACTCCAAACAACCCTATGAGACTCAGCTAGTCCCCAGCCATACTCCTCAACCCTGAGCCACAGAAAGTTGGCAGAAAGTGGGGGTGGTCTCTGAAGTTTGGTGATGCAGCATTGATCAAATAATACCAGATTCATGTCCATCGTATGTGAATGGTGTGAGCTCACAGCAGATCTAGGAGCTCCCCTTAGTAGATGTGCTCATTGCTCTGTTGAGGCGAGCATTCTGAAATGCGTTTCATGCATTCTAGTCTTTAAACTATGAGTGAATAGATGATAGGAACAAGGAGAGACCCAGGCTTCTCACAGTGAGAAAGAG